TATTATTTTTTTTTTTAAAGTTTACTTATTTTTGAGAGAAAGACGAAGAGAGAGAGAGAAAGAGAAGGAGAGAGAGAGAGAATGCAAGCAGGGGAGGCACAGAGAGAGAGAGGAAGACACACAATCTGAAGCAAGCTCCAGGCTCCGAGCTATCAGCACAGAGCCTGACATGGGGCTTGAATCCACGAACTGTGAGATCATGACCTGAGCCAAAGTTGGATGCTTAACTGACTGAGCCATCCAGCTCAACTCCCCCCCCCCCCACTGAGTTTTGCAACTTTAAAAATGTTAGAGCTTTAATAATTTTTGCTTGTGTTCTATTATGGAAAAATAGTTGTAGATTTTCTACAATGTAAGAGAAAGGGAGTTTATCCAAAAGGGCCACTGTTTGGTAAGAAAAGAACAAAAAGTCAACCCATAAAAACTGCATCAACACCAAATCTCAAGTCTGGAGATTCATTTACCATTTCTGTATCTAATATCAAAAAACCCAGGCCATTTATTCAATATTCATTCAAAAAATATTTCTTAAGCACTGACTATTAATTATTTGCCATTGCATCTTTAAAACAAATGGAGAACCATTTGATAACTCTTTAATAGAGCATAATCAAATTCATATTGAGCAAATTCTCACATGATATAAAATGAGTGATAAATGAATTCTTGCTCTCTAGAAGCTTACTTGAAAGGGGAAATGCACAAATCATGTTAAGAGACACACATACTGTCTGAATACAGGTCTAGAGAGCTTGGAGACTGAATCAATCAACTCTGACTTAACAGATAAAAGTGAACTTCATAGTGGAATTGACATCTTCAGGCCCTCAAAATGACTAGGAATCCTACTGGTAGAATGTGAGAAAAGGAATTCCAGGGGAAGGAACCCACATGAGCAACGGCCCAGAAACTGTTCAGGACCAACTGCTGGGAAGCAGAAAGTAGTCTTGTTTAGCATTGGGAGGGCAAAAAAAAGATGATGCTGGTGGGTGATGGTTGGGTTAGTGGAGAGGGAAGAGGGAAGTTGGCTGGGACCATATTGAGAAGGGCATGGAGTTGTGCAAAGGTGCCTTGGGCTCATATCTTTTTAGAATAATAATTCTGAAAGCAATGGGGAAGATGGCTGGAAAGGGATAGGAAAGGAGCATAAATGTAAATATATGTGGACTGAGGAGAGGGCAGGCATTATGTTTCCTTTTTTGAAGTAGTGATGGAATAGCTTCACTGATTGTATATAGACAGTTGAAGTTTTAGGCAAGAATTAACTTCCCATATTACTTAAGTAGGATTATTCCTTAAGTATCAGATACATGATCCTCTTAAAAAAAGAAATAAAGAAAACAACTTCATTATTTTCTTCCTATTATCAACAGAATACATGTTAACTTCCAGGTAAACATGTGATAGAAAATGGATTTTTAAAAAGCTGGTTTAATGAAGCACAATCATACCACCAGAAAGAAATATTGTTTGTATGTGACTCTTCAAATTTGGCTTTAATTCTACTACCTAGGACTAGGCATTGGATAAGATTTGATGATGGATAGACTAATTTAGGCAACAGGGGTTAAATTACCTCACCTTTGGTCTTACTTTGCACAGTAAAATTTGCCGAGGAAGACATTTATTGTTACATTATGATAATTATAAATTATTTATAATTATTTCAAAAAATGTGCTGTCTTATGAAAAACAGATTTGGAAATGGTTTTATATTTTGTAATACATGCTGGTTTGGCACATATTTCCTTCTTTGAAGCAAAAATGAAAAAATGCAAGTAGTGAAACTAAATCATTCCCCCAATCTTCAATCATCATCAGTAGAAACTGAATGCTAAAGAAAGGTATATTTTATTCATTAACTCAGCAACTCTTTAAGAAATGCTAATAATAAGTATAACATGGAAAAATATAGGTTTATGTGCCTGTACATATGGAGCTCATGATCTTACTTAGTTTAGCAAGATATTTTTTTTTTTCTCCCTGATCTTCAGAATAGAAATCCCACCCACTTTTAAAAGTCTGGCTCCATCTTCCCATTTCCTCATTTCCATGAAGTACTTTTGTACTGTTTTGGCCTCTGCAGGTTTAGCCCTTCTCTGGCATTCCATAAGTCTTAGAGATGGTGTCATTATTACACAATTTTGGTCCTATGTCATCAGAAAATGATCTCTATCAAATGTATCTAAGTCCTCTCTCCTCAAGAAGATAAACACACACACACACACACACACACATTCTTAAAGACAAAGACTTGGGATACAAGTCTTAAGGGCCAAATTTTCTGAATCTCTGGTAATACCAAGCAAGGAATCTTGTATACTTCCAACAAAAGCATTTTTATGTTTTGAACTGAAAAACTTATTTACTGGAAGTCTGGTTCTTGAACCTATCAAAAGAGATGTAAATAAAATTTGTCTTAGCATGGACACCTCATAATCCTGGTGCAAATGAAGGGGATATGGTGACAATTTCCTAATGGACTCTGATGGCATTCTTTTACTTGTTATTTTAAAGGCAAATTGTTCATTATTTCCTAAAAATGTCATATAATTTAAATGTCCCTAAATGATCTAAACAATAATCCAATCAGTTTTCCATTTCATACAATAGTTAAATTAAGTCTCAGTTACACATTAAATTTAGAAAGGGGGGAAATGATTGCTTGTTGTTATATTACCCCGTTTCCAACTGATTTAAAGCTGTGACAAATTAGAATACAGTTGGACTATTAAAATAGGCAAGTCATTCTGTGAATCCTAGCTGCACTCAGGCACTTTGAAATAAGGTTGTTGTTTTTATTTGCAGATTTCTTTAGAAGCACTTTGAAAATTGGTTTATATGATTTATAAGATGTGTTTTGAACAGGCATCTTCACAAAGCACATCATAGTATCCAAATTAAGTATATTGCTTAAAGGAAACAAAAGCTGTAAAGAAGCTTAAGATGAAGAATAAAGTTGATAGAATGACATTTTGTCTTTTCCTGTAACCTTTAAAGTTTAAAATCACTCTGTTCAAGGCCACTTGAATGGCTATCTTCACTATCAAGAGCTTCTAATTTTAATTGGTGTTTGAGATGAAATTTTTCAGAAATGGGAAAAGAGCCTGGGCATTTATGCCATGTGCCAGGTTGTGGTGAAGGGCATACAGTTTGAGACTGAATGAAAACAAAGAAAATGGAAAAGTCCTGAGGAAAAGTTCTTATTCTATATGAAGTAGAATTTGTTTATCAAATTATGCTAACCCAGATGTTTTATTTCCTATTTTATAATGGGTACTTCTGGAGCCATTTATTCCTATTAGAAGACACGTTTACTAATTTTTAAGTAGAAAGACTTTCAAAGCTGTAGGGGAAGAACATTTGCCCTTGATATTGTCATCATCCATCTTTGACAATCACAAATCTCCTCTTCTCCCATTCTCTGGCCATATCTGGGTCAGGCCAATAGGAGAAAGCATTTAATATATCTTTTTATAACTTAAGTACAGATTCTAATCCTAAAGACAGGCAACATAAATGAAACATTCCAAAACACACATGGCACAATGTTTTCTTTATTCTCACATGAAATATGTGGTTGGCCACCATTATGGTAAATAAAATCTAAGACTTCGCAAAGAAGATACACACCTCAGTCTTCCAAAGAAGAATAGACCAACTGACATTAAGAAAGAATCACTTTAAAAGGTCAAAGAAGCTCTTTATACCCATAGGCAAAAAGGCTCTTCCTTAATGGCATTTTGTACTTTCATGTTTATCTGTTTAATAGTCTTCTCTGAGAGCTATGTGGACCAAGGATAGTTAACTACATTTCTTAAAGGCCGAAATGACATTGCTTTTTTTTTTTCTTGTAAAAAGTCTAGCCCACTGTGGTGTGCTTAACTGCATTTCATTAACACAGGAGCAACCTACATACAAATTTGCTAAAATATCATCCACCCAATAGGTAACATCCTGGTTGTCTCATTGAGCCTCATTCTGATCACAGAAACAGATGTTGAAACAAACCAAAGAGCAGGGTATGGCTAATGCAATTTAGGATATCTCATCAAGCCTCAGTTGGATAAGCCAATTTATGACATCTCACCATGTTTCAGGGATTACAGTAGCTTATTGCAAACAAGCTATACTATAGCAGAGAGCACACACACACACACAAATCTACATCGAGGACAACCAAACACTGTGTTAGTATTAATAAGAGTTAATGCCACAGAGAGAGAATGCTGATCATGGTCTGTTCCCTCTGTCCTTGCTTCTGAAGTGATTCAGGACAACTACTCCAACCCCCGCCCTCCACCCTGCCCCCACTGAATGTGCCACTGTGGCATATGGATATTGCACTGAAGGCAAGTGAGACACTACAGGCTCACGAGAAACTTTTGCCCCTCCCATAGCTACATAGAAGGATCTCAACTGGGGGTCTTTTCCAGTACACTGGTTATTAACAGAGATAGATTTTATCTGAGTGACCCATCTGTATAGGCAGAACAAATACCTAATTTCCAAACATCTGCTCTTATCGCCCTGTGAATGTATTTCTGTTCTCTAAAGTCCCAGACCCTGCCTATTTCATAGTTCAGGATGACATGTATATGTCATTTGGCCTGTCTTTGGAATTTCCATGCCTATATGGATTCCTCTTACATATGCTATTAAATTTGATTTTCTCCTATTAATTGGTCTCATGTCAATTGGATTCTTAGTCCATCTTAATGGTTTTTAGAGTATCCATTGCTGACCCAAAGGGTCTACAGATAAAAATATAAATAAAGTTGAGGCTAGTTTTTTTAATTCATATTTTGAAGAGGACTTTCTAATTGATGTTTTCCTTGGAAGATTAAGAGTATCAAAGCCTCATATTCTCTGGATATGTAACACTCATTTTTCAGGATAGGTAAGTTTTAAAAAACCTTGTTGGTATAGACTGGTTAATGTGGATTATCAGAAATGTGCAGAAATGTATCAGAACATTATAAGCTTGGTTTCTCACTGACCTTCAGGTTGGTATTGTGCTATAATCGTCACTGTCTGTCCAGCCCCCTTCAGCGCAGCTGCAGCCTGCTCATGGGATGCTCCACGGAGGTCAATGCCATTCACCTGGAAGAGAAAACCAGAGAATTTTGGTATTTTATAAGGCCTATTATTCTGATAGAAGAAAAATGTTTCTCCAAACTTAGAAGCTGTCTAAGATTATGTGACCTGCCTCAAAACCACTAATGTCCTACCAAGCCATTTGAGTGTTACTTAGTGAGTTTCAGGCTCTTAACAACTTTCAGTCAGCAAAGACGTGAAATTTCATCTTGTGGCGTTTAAAGCATGGTCTGACTGGGTTGAAACTCTGTCTATGCATGTCTATGAGAATTTTAGTATGTGCATTTAATATGCCTCTGTGAGTTTCCTAGACTTCTGGGGTGGATATGAGCCTTCAGAATTAGAGGAAAAACAGAATAATAAAGAGAGACACATGTAATGTACACAGATGAGTATGTGCTGACAGATTAATATATTCAGATGAAGTTCTGGGTAGACTGTATGAAATGGGGCTGGCTGCCTGCCAAATCCCTCTTTTTGGTCATATGCCTGGTCCTGTCATTCTGAGCTTGGTTAGACAGCCCTGAGCCTTATTCCAAAATAAACCTGACTGCCCCATTTCTCATGTACAATTCCAGAATGAATTCTGACAAAATGAAATAAAGAATGCCTGGAGTTTATGTTGCTGTTGCTAACTCCCATTTTGGAGCTGATGCCAACAGAAAACCAGAACATCTAAAAAACAAGCACAAAACTCTACTGAGAGGGAAAAGTCATTCTGAAGTCAAATTTCATAAAAAATAAGAGCTAAAATTTTTCTCAAATCAATTTGGTCAAAGTCAACGTAATATAATTCCTGAGTGCTTTCCAATGACAGGGCTCTGTGTCTGCCTCAGGAGAGAGATGATGGGTGGAGAACAAAGGTGAACAAGGCAAGCCCCTAAGAAACTTTTTCTGCTTGAACTGAACACACAGAAAGTCCAGTTTTTCTAACATACATAGAGCTACTCTTTTGCAGTTGATACCAGAATTCTGCTTCCTCTTCCTTTTATTTACAGAGAAGTTGGCTACCAACCATAAATAATAATAATAAAAAATGCCTGACCAGCTTATCTGCATGTAAAACATAACGTCCTATTTTGCCTCTCATCAGTGCTCTTTGACAATGACTCTGGGTGGTGGATCGGGAGTTGCCACTGTTTCCCCATTGGGTCTAGAATACCTGCACTTTTTTTTTTTTTTGTTTATTAAGGTTATTCATTTATTTTTGAGAGAGAGAGATAGAGCATGCACATGGAGAAGGGGCAGAGAGAAACGGAGAGAGAGAATCCCAAGCAGGCTCTGCACTGCTTATGTGGAGCCTGATGCAGGACTCAAACTCACAAACTGTGAGATCATGACCTGAGCTGAAACTGAGAGTTGGATGCTTAACTGACTGAGCCACTCAGGTGCCTCATGGAATATCTGTAATCTTTAATTCCCCATTCTAGCCCTCTCATAATAACTTTGTGGAAGTCTCCTTAACCACTTTTATAATTTTTCCATGCCTCTTCCCTGGCTTTCTATTCTGGTGATCTTACTGAAAGCATTGATTACATGGTAACATGGAGAAGTCCATTGACTTCAGGCTGGGTTTGGCCTGACTGTGCCACACACCAGAGGAGTGACTATCTTTTCACCTCCTGAGCCTCAATATTCTTTTACCTTGAAGGGAAAGGACTGAGAGGCTCTTTGAGTGTAAATCTCCTTTGAACTATAGAATTTCCGGATTTACTTGTTGGTAGATGACAGTCATTTCAGAGATTGTCTAGGCATGGATGAGTCAGACGATGACTCAGACAGCCAGAAGGCAGGAAAAGTAATTAGATGTAGGCTCTTGCCTACAGGAAGCTGAATGCACAAACTTCGTGGGCCAAATAATCTCTTGTCAAACAATTAGGGCTAACTTCTTATTAAAACATAATGTAGGATCATGGTAAATAAATTCTAATGTTTCAGAAAGGTATCTAAGGAAAAGTAAAAAATTTCTCCTTACCATCTGTACTCCCAGAGGTAACCAATGTTAGCAGTTTCTTGGGTATACTTTCTAGAAATCTACTATATGTACATGCACACACATGACTTTATTTCTATTTCTTTTTTTATGTATGTAAGATGTCTTCACATTTTTAGTTAAGTGAGTAGGATCATATTATATATGTAATTCTATAACCTGTTTCTGTTTTGCCTTTAACAATATATCTTGGACATCTTCCATATCAGCTCATATCATTTTTACCTTTTTAACAGGAGCCCAGTAATCCATAGTATGAATAGACCAGCATTTTTTCAACAGGATCCCTATTGTTGTTGAGACTGTGTCTATCTTTCTGCTACTGCAAGCACTTGTGAAGATGTTTCTGAAGGATAAATTCCCTGGAAATATACTTTCTAAGTCAAAAGGTACGTGCATTATTCATTTCTTTTAATTTGTTCTTGCACATTTTTCACATGATTATTATTCACTAAACAAACAGAAACTAATAGAGAAGAAAGCAAAAAAGGGGAGACCGAATCTCACTGCCCAGTGTATTGATATAAAAAAATTAATGTATGTACATAATGCACATACATAAATTTAAAGCAATACAAAAAGCATAAAAATAAAATGGTCCCAACTTTTATTCTAATGATACACAGTTGATGGCTTCTTATATATACTACCAATTATTTTTTGTATGAATGAAAGCAGGTTTATAGAATTATAATTTTAAAATTTTATACAAATAAGGTATTTTACACATAGTTTTATACCTTTATGTTTTCTATTTACTAATACATTTTAACGAACTTTCTTCATTCACATATTCCTATACATTGTCATCCCTTTTGATAGCTATGAAGTGTTCTATTATCCATTATAAATTTATTTTATCAGCAGGGTTGCTAGACCCTTAGGTTGTTTCAGTATTTTCCTATTTTAAACAATGCTGTAATAAATATCATCTAACAAAAAGTTCTTGGATAAAGGGTATGAGTGCTAAATTTTAATAGCTATTGCCAAGTTGTCTCCAAAAATTTATACTCCCACAAATAAAATATGATTGACTTTCTTCATAGTCTTGTAAAAACTGCACATACCACAACATTTGGGCTTTGCCATTCTAATATGTAGACAATTACATTTTTAAATTTTGCTTTTCTACAATTATGAAGTTAAGCATCTTTTAATATGTTTGCTAGTTACTTAAATTTGTTTTGGCATAAAATGACCTTTTGCTTATTTCACCTATTTTTTAATTCGTGTAGTTTGTTCTCCTAAAAATTTATCTGCCTTTTAAGAATATTAGTGCTTAATCTCAGATAACTATTGCAAATATTCGTATTAGTCTGGTTTGTGTATTTTGTGTTACCATTGTAACTGTTAACTTTTCCTTGGTATGCTATTTCTTGCCATACATAAGCCATATTTATCACTATGTTTTCCTTTTTAGCTTTTGAGTTTTGTATTATATCTACCCCTCTCCAATATACTTAATAAATTACTCATATTTTCTTCTCATACACCTGGTTTAATTTTTAGCCACTTAGTCTTTGACCTACTAGAATATATTTTGATGTTTGATGTGAGATCCAGGTGAACATCCACCCTTTCTTGTAACTTTCCCTTATAGCATCAGATTCATACATCTTTTAATATTCTAATTATCCTCTGAATTTTTCAAAGTGCACTAAGGGGAGCATGGAAAAGTGGGAAGGAACAGAATATGGAATCACAGAGAACTGGGTTTGAATTCTGAGTTGACCAGTCATACTTAAGTAACTTGGGAAAGTCACTGACTTCTTTGAATCTCAGTTTTCTTACCTGTAAAATGGGTATAATATCTACCTCTCTATTAGGGCTGTTGCATAAAATAAACGAGACAATATCTGTAAAGGCCTTAACACAGACCCTGGTACAAACAAGCATTCAGCAAATAGTATCTATTATTGCTGTCAGTATTTCTTCAGAGCTGTGATTATAAGTGACAAAATAAAATCTAATGGAAATTAATTAATACAACATATATGAGTTACTTTTTTTGGTATGAATACAGAATTTCAGTATTGGAAATGCCTTAGAAACTTGCTCATCCAGCACTTACACATTAGCACATTAAAGATCATTCCGGGGGCATCTGGGTGACTTAGTTGGTCAAGTGTCCAATACTTGATTTTGGCCTAGTTCATGATCTCATGGTTCATGAGTTTGAGCTCCATACTGGGCTCTGCACTGACAATGTGGATCCTGCTTGCGATTCTCTCTCTCCTTCTCTCTCTGCCCCTACCTCACTCTCTCTCTCTCTCAAAATAAATAAATAAACTTAAAAAAATTATTCCCAAAAGAGTTAAGATGAGAGAGCAACATGGAAATCCTGAGCCTGTCTCAACCCTAAAATGCAGCTAGATCAGCACCAAACCATTTTCAACATCTAGGAAATTGATCTGAGGAGTAACACAACAATCTACATAACATGAGCGAGAGAACTTGGCAGATATGCTGTGTGGAGAGGTGAACTGGGGGAGAGAAAAGCTGAAAAGGGTAGGGAGCTGCTTTCATGCAGAGAGGATAGAGAAAATGAAAGGAGGAGAGTGTGGTGTATCAGGATCATGTAAGCACTTTTCCTGAAAATAGCTGGAAAGAAAGAGAGAAAGAATGAAAATACTAGCAGGGCACTGAACAAGAAATCTATTCTCCAAAATCATTGACAAGGAAAAAGGAGAGGGTTTCAATACCATTAGGATTCTGTAAATAGTGGAGCAGAATCTGAAATTCCAAAGCTCAGTGCCTGGCGGTGCTCTGGTGAGGAAGTAGGGAGAATCCCCAGGAGAAGACAGTAGGGTCTGAGGGATCCATGCGCCACACAGGGAAAAGCAGTCTCCCTACATGGTGTGCATTTGGTAGAGACCATACAGCCTCCCCACAGGCAAAGGTCCCAGTGGAGCCCAGAGAGCAGCAATGGCCCCAGGTATAGGGACAAAGGTGTCAGGGTGCAGTGAAACCTGGTGCCAACTGTGTTGGGCATTGCCATAATCTCTGAAGCTCT